CATCCCGAAGGGGGACACGCTTGGGAGCCAACCTGATCTGAATTGGATTGGATTGACTTATCCAAGTTGAGGCCCTTCTAGAAGTGTCGTTTGGCTTTTTGCTTTAGATTCTAACAGGGACCCAACTCAAAAGTGGTGGGTGGACATGAATCCCCACCTGAACCGCCTAAATGCCGTCGACCAAGGTTTTTGTTTTTTGCGGTGTGGTGCGTGTCGACCAACGGGGTCAGATCGCAGGAGACGGGCTTTTCACAGGCGGAGGCCCAGGAGTTTCGGGATCTCTTCCTGTCTGCTCCTCCGCTGCATCCGGATTCCGGATCCCGGAACCTGTCCGAATGGGCCGGTGTTCCCCTCCAAAAGTGGGGGAACTCCCCCCACTAAAAGAGGAAGCCTTCTGATAAGCCAGGGTTCTCATTCCGGGGTTTCCCTTCAGCCGACAGGGCTTGTTATTTTAATTCAATGGTGAATCTCCCAGAGCAATTGCATCTTAGAGGGCACTGCAGGTTTTGGAGGTCGCATCGACTACCCCGAAGGCAGAAGGAAGACACGGTGGGCGGCAGGGCAAATCAATCCAAGGAAACTACGTTCTGCTACCATTGCCTCGCTTTCGCCATTCGGGCAAACGCAACCATCCCCTCCCCCTTCAATCCCAGGCGATGCAGCTGTCTAGTGAAGAATGTCCACGTCGGCTGCGGGAAGTGGGAACCACCACACAGATATATGCTTTTCTAATGCTTCAACAAACAGGCCCTGGGCGCATGAGGGGCACAGACGCACCCATCAGCTTGGATGTGTATGGGAATTTGGAACAGTGAAGTTTTTTTGTTTTTTCAGGTCACGATGGCTCTGAGATTTGTGCACGTCTAAAAGTACGCCGTGACAAGTCCAAGAGTATGATGCAGCACTTGTTTCTTGCAGAACGCGAAATCCCATCTTCATTTGGGGGTGAGTTTTCATAGGGGGCCCTTTGGTGGACATCATTTAGGTGGGGATTCATGTCCACCAACCACTTGGAGGTGGTTTCCCAATTGAAACCAATAGCCTTTTGGCGGAAAAAGTGATCGCTGGCTCTTTTTCCTGAGGCTGGCCAGACACCAGGCTGCATAAACTTCGAGGAAATCTGGAAGATGCTCAACAGCCCCTTGCCGCTGGAGTTGTTTGCTTGGCCCTTCAAAGGTACTAATCCTTCTCATTGGTGGGCTGCTTAGATCCCTCCATTTTTAACAGCCCGGTTTGTTTTCCACAGATTGGGTGATTTTTTGAGCAGCCAGTGGGGGCCTTAGCTAGAAGTCTCGCAGCTCCTGCGCTAAGGCATCGCTAGTACAGATTTATATGAAAGCATCATTCCAAGTTAGTAGACACAAGCGCAATCAGTTGACCAGGCTGAGGCAAGGCACTAGTCATCAACCCTAATCCCCCCCCCTTTGCCCTTGTGCGATTCGGAACCCAAGGAAGCAGCAGCCAGGGGCCGGGGTACACTCAACACACCCTGGTGCCGGTTTGGGTTGTTTTGATGGCTTAACCGGCCTGAAGCTATCATTTTGTAGTGGCAACTGGTAAGGGTGCCCATAGTATCATAGGTATATTGCCATGGACTTGGCTCACTAGGGCTTCATGTCGTTTGCCTTTGAATGTCAATAGGCTTGTGACCATGCACTATTTGATTTTGACTTGCCAGACTGTTTTGACTCGTTTGTGTTTACCATCGACAAATCGGCCACTGCCCCAATCCCATCATGAGATTCCCGCCGCGAGTGACGGGAGCCTTTGGATTTCAGGCACCACGCCCTTGGGCCACAATTTGACGCTCGAGCTGTTGCAAATGTTCAACGAGCAGCTGATGAAAAGGCCCGGGACTAATCCCCACCCGTTGAGCAAATACCTTCACGTGCATTTGGGCGTAAATCTGTGAGTCTGTGCTGTTCACGTGCTTGGGCTCGACATCTTTTGGTTTGAACATTTTGCTACTGGATTGGGCCGCAAGCGTTAATTCTGTCTATTGAAAGGCCGGTCATTCCGCACAAGCCCAAAGCGTGTTGCTTCTTAGGCCCCAAAACAAGTTTGTGATCAAAACATAGGATCCCGGAAACGTATGACGAGCGAGATCAATGCCTTGTCTTTGAAATGCTGCCAGTGTTGAAGGAAGGCATGCCATGCCTTTTGCATACGAAGTCATCCGTGGACGTGGGCATGTGATATATTTTTTGCACCCCTTGCATCTACAAACTGGTTGCTGTCGTTTTGAACCATGTGCTTGGCATGAACGTTTGTCAGTTCTGTGTTGGGACCATTTGAGCCATTTGCCTGTGAACAAAAGGGACAACGGGGGGCAGCAGTTTTATGATGTCGCTGCCCAGGGCTGCCTTGTCTTTTGGAGCACTTTGACCCTGAATCGCTCGCTTATAATCATGGCCGTGTATTAGCGAAGATTCTAGAGATGAACTAAACAGACAGAGGAAAGGGAAAGTCCGTCCACCAGCTCGTTCCTTCCCTAATGCCCGGCCGAAGGTGTAAGGAATAGCCGCTGGCCGGCAGGATTAATAGGTGAGAATGATGAGAGAAGGGAAAGCGAACAACTGGCTCTCTATCTCCATCACATGCCATGTCTAGAGACGAGAGAAGGCATGGGAGATAGAAGGAGAAACAAGACAGTTCTTCCATCTCATCCTTCATGCTGTCATGTCTCTCTCTCTCACTCTGTTCGTTCTCTCAGACACGGCATAGGATGAGGAGATAGAGAGACAGCTTCCTTGTCGTTCATTTCACCCTCGAACTTCGTCAGTATATTTGTCAGGGGTTTTACCCTAAGGTACTACCTTTGCCGGGTGTGAATTGAGTTTTTCCCCAAATAACAAACCATATGCCCTTCGATCAAAGGATCAAAGGCTTGTGAATCCAGGGCTTTTGCCCCTGTGGGTACGCCACGCAGGAGGAAACCCATCCATGCAAAAGCTAGGGGCCAGGTTAACAGGGTTGCACTTTTTGTACCGCATTGACTGTTTTCGTGTCGTTGGCTGTCAAAACACACGGGGGGTCAGGAGCGAGTTCTATACCGACCCAGAGTTGGAGCACGCCCTGGATTTTGCAGACTTCCTCCGGCGGCCCGAAAGATAAGTTGGCCGGGGTTAGCGGATCCGATGACATTGCCGCCTACTTATGGAGTCTGAGTTGTCCCAAGCTGCTTCTGGCCGATGGGTTTGCCCTTCGTCCGCTTTCAATGCGCCCAAACGGGCAGTCTCGTTTATATCCATCCGGGTCAAGCGAACCAGCAAGGCACAAAGGTCAGCACCTGCATGCCGAGCTTGACATTGGCTGGAACGGCTCTTTGATAGGGATACTCAGTTCAAACATTTGACAGTAGCGTGCTCCGGCCTCTTCTCATTAGCCAAAAGGTTTGGTTCCTTGGCCACGTGAGGGTCAAGGGCTTGATCCATTGGCTTCGAATGCGATCCCTTTTTCTGGGTTCTCGAGGTTCATGCGGAACCTCATGGACATCAACTTTGCACATCTGATACGCAAAGTCTGAGATGGGCCACTCGCAAGTTTTTATCTGCTTGTCAGAAATTTGCTCAGAAAGCCCATAAATTGAAGCTACGGCGTACCTCTGAGTTGCGAATACTGCATGCTTTGTGCTGTGATGGGTAGGATCGTTTGCTGGGCACGGTTTGTGGAGTTGCTATGCTTCAGGAAGGGCTGCTGACTCGGAAATTCGGCTGCCATGCAAAGCAACTGGCAGACCCTCGTTGCAACAGCGCCCGGCGCATTTTTCATCGATGCTGCAAGGGCTCTTCTTCGCTTCTTGCCGTCACGATGGCCATGAGCTGGCACGTTGACAAACGTTCAGATCTCGGTCACCGCTGATAGGGTAGCCAAAGAAGTGGCGGGCCCAGCGCAAATTTGTTGCACGGGCCTAGAAGTGCAGACTGACTCAGAAAGGAAACAGCTCCAGCAATGATGTGTGCGCGTGCGAGCGTGCATGCAAGCGTGCGTGCGCGCGCGGGGGCGTGCGTGCGTGGGTGGCTGGCTGGCCGGCTGGCTGGCTGGCTGGTTGGCTGGTTGGCTGGCTGGGTGGGAGGGTGGGTGCGTGTGCGTGTGCATGCGTGTGTATGTGCGTGTGCGTGTGGGTGTGTGTGTGTGTGTGTGTTGGGAGTTTGCCATGTTGGGTTTCTTATGGATGCGGTGATTTTTACGAAGGAAATGTAGGGACCCCAGTTGGAATTCAGGCCCCGGTCTTCAGCCGAGGCCCATCACATTGGTGAAATTCATTGGCATGCCGGCGCAGGTGCTGATGCGGCAGCCGAAGTCAGAGCTTTGGGCAGACACGTCGAATCTCAAAAGACTGGGATATCGCTTCGCAGCGGCTGCACCAGTGGAAGTGAGTTTGGCTGGTGCTGTGCGTAGCTGTACGTGACATCTTGGTCAAAGAAGCAGCTCAAGTGCTTCTCCGCTTGTGCTGGTTGCTTCATCTGGGAGTGAGAAAGTCATGCTGGAACACAGTTCAAATCTACAGCGCTTTCCTTTGTCCAGCCTGCTTTATAGAGGGGGTCCACCAGTCCGGGGAATGAAGCGTTAACCCAAGGTGCATGGAATGCTCAGCAAGCCGCGTGCGGTGCTTGCTGCGAAGTCTGAGGGATGGTTGAGACGTTTGGACTTGATGCGCCCCACATCAGCTGTACACTTGAATAGAAGCCGCGCACGTCACTGTACATCTTTTGAATCATTCAAAAGCATGCGCAGAGCATGTGCGAAGTCCCTCATGTTTGTTTTGCGTCAATGAAGCTACACGTTGGTCATGGTGAATATATAAATATTGTCGCTTGCATGACTCACACAGATCACGAATTCCTTGAAGTGACATCTCCACCCACCAGCCCCCCCTTCACAAGATACGAGGACGTGTCAAAGTAGCGGTTCCCAAAGATGGCGATTTCCTTTTGGCTTCCCGCTGAACCACCCCTAAGAAAGATGCCCGCAGACAATGACAAGCTCATAGTTTGTCTGAAGCCTTGCGGCTTGGGGCGCCTTTGGCCATGCGGAAAAGCCGCCGTGCCGCGGCGCTGGTGCTCCCCTTGGGGCTGTATGCTCGCGGCTTTAGTGGCCTGGCCCAGACCGTTGTGATCCAGACGGCCTGATTTTGCGTGGGGTTTATGGATTAGTTGAATCCTTGTGCTGCATCGCATTCATTGCGTAGTGGGCTTGCCCTCGGTTTGGAAGGTCGGAGTTCAAAACGCTAACCCCTGTCGTTGGTGGCGTTCCCCTAAATATTCTTCACAGGGGGCTGGTGTGTTTTGCAAAGGACCCGTTGTTTATGACGGACAAACCGTGAAAGGCCGTCTTCAGCTTGCGCAACAACCGCCCCGCGCCATTCATTTGCACCTACAATGTTTGTTCCAGGTCCAGTTTATTTTGTTTTTCAACAGTTTTTTTGTGTGCTTCAGTTGGGCCTCCCCCGCACCGCAAGACCAAAGCGAGGCGCCGGTTGGGCGTGGGACTGGTGGCGTTCCATGGGAAGCCCGCGCTGGGTGTGCTCCCCCATGGTGGACCAGTCGGAGCGCGCCTTCCGGCTGCTTTGCCGCAGGCGGGCGCCGCTCTCACTGATTCAATTTTGTAGTTAACAAGGTCCCCCAGTAGTGCCCTTTTACCATTTCTTTTTTGGTTGGGAGGGTTCCCCTACTGAAACCTCTCTACTGGAGGACCTCGGCAAATATTCAGCAATAAAAACAGGGGATTGCGCATTTTCTGGTGCTGATGTCCAGCCAGTGCGATCGACTCCAACTGCAGGTTCACGGTTGTTTTGAAGGCTTATGCCCATGCCTTTGCGCACATCTCTGGATGGATCCATTGGGGGTTTGGGTAGGCAAGATAGCTGGACGTAGGCCATGGCTCGCCTGATATTGTGTCAAAAAGACTTGGGAATTCCAAGCAGCTGCTTTCTGCCTGCGTTCCTTCGTGCTGGGTAAGAACCAAGCAATTGAAACGCCGCAAAAAACAAAAAAGGCCACAGGTGTGGGTTCCAAGGGCTTTCCTAAGAGACCCGCCAGGGTTTCCCATGTTTTCGTGAGTTTCGTTGAGGTACGGGGTCCACCTGGCCTACACGCCCATGCTGCACGCAGAGCCCTTCGCAAGCGACGAGGCCTACCGCCGGAGCTTCTTCGATGCCTGGGAGCCAGCTCAGCTGGACGGCCAGCAGGACCTTGGATGTGTCACATGTTCAGGAGTGCTTCCTCAGAAATCCACTCAAAACACTCAGGGGGAGCCATTGGCCTTGAAAAAGACCCAGAAATCCACCCAAACATTTCAGGGGGAGCCATTGGCTTCTCAAAACAAAAACCATGGTTGCAGCTCAAGCCAAGAGGAAACTATGCACCTGATGCTCGAAAAGCGGGGCAAGTTTTGCCGGCCTCAGAAAAGGGAGCCCTGCAGCCTGCAGGTATCTTTCTTGGGCCCATTTCTTGGAATTGCCGGAAGCGCGCAGCGGTTCGTGGTTGGCTTAGTCGCGTGGCGAATCAAACGTGCCCAAGGTGTCCGGCTTTGCTTCCAAAAACGTCCAAGCGGAATGGGAGTTGCAGGTACTGAGCAACCGGACTCAGAAATTCGGTTGAGCGGAGTCCCAACCGCATTGCATGCTTGCGGCATAAGTCAGGCAACTGTGTCCATCCATGCGTACAGTTGCCCCGGAAGAGGCAGGTGAACCATGCCTGTCGACATTTGCCATCATCCATCTATTGGGAGATCTTTGGAACCCAGACTCGTCAGCTCAGATTGTCGATGCCCAAGCCGATGTTGACTATATATGTATGTGTATACATATATATGTATGTATATATTATGCATGTATTTTAAAGATCTAATTGGATTTGCTTGACTTTAAGAACATCGTGATCACTTTAAATGTTCTTGGCAACATCGACTGAGGTCAGCACATTAATTTTGTAGATTGAATAGGTCCTGAACTACGATATCACAATGCAAAGGGATGGGCCTGCGGCGCTTGTTCCCCCAATTGCTCCTCACAGCCTCAGAATGTTTTGCTAACTGCCGGCAAGGTTTGCTCATAAGTCATGTGGTTCCAATAACTTTTAGATACTTATCTCTAGATGCCGAGGTTCTGTCAGATGCACAAGACTGTTGGGGCAGGCTTTTTCACCCGGGTATTTATCTCAGAGCGTTTTGCAGGTTTGTGTTTTGTTTTCCACTTTTTGTTGGTTGAACACTTTCATAGGGTTTGTGTGTTTACTTTTCGTTGGTTCAAGGTTTGTTTGATTTGTTGCCTTCACCCGTGGAAAAGACTGCCGTTCTGATTTGGTGGTTTCTCAATGTGCAAGGCGCATGCCAGAAGACAAGCGCCATGTACCCACCGGCATGTCCCGCCAGCAATTCCACGGGCCACAAAGCTCTTTGTTCATGAACCGATCCGGCTGAAACAACTTGCTAGTTCTCAGCAGGGAATGAGAAATGGAATGAAATGGAATGAAATGGAATGACCCCAAGTAAAACCAT